TTTTTTTTATATTATACATAATTATCTTTTTTATTATAAGAATCTATTACTGCTAGCACTATATAAAAAAAGAAAAGAGCTAGAGAATTATATAGTAAGGCTTAGAAAGTAAAGAATAAAGAAGAGAAAAGCTATTTACATAGCATAACTAGCTTATTCTAACGCATAGCATTACTAAGGCAAGTTCTAATAAATAGAGTAAAGTAAAGGCAGAACATAATTAGATAAACCTACACAGATAGAAAAGAGGTAACACGTACAGAAGGTAACTCTTTAGATAAAAAGAAAAGTTGCTAGTGTCTGTACATAGCAGCAGCGTTGCGGCCTAGATATAAACAATTGCGCACAAGCAGGATCACGTATTAATGTTACATAATACTTGTGCGCGAACCTTTGTGCGTAAACATCTAGATATCCCCCTTTTCCTCTATACAGAGGAAAGATAAGAGTAATAGAACTAGAAACATATTGCCCTTACCTTACCTACCTTGTACGCTGTGCACACTGTACACCACTCTTACTCTTGCTACTTAAGTGCTTATACTATAAGCAGCTAGCTGTCAGAGCCTATTCAACACTAGTTATATAATTAGCAGAGGTAGCAGAACTTCTTAATCTCTTCTAGCACTGCAGCATTAATGTTATGGCTAGCGCTAGTTAGCATCTTCTAAAGTCTCTCTATGCAGGGGTGTCTAAATTAGTAGTAGAGGCAGTAAAGTTTTAATTTAGTAAAGAAAGACATAAATTTTTTTTTACTAATGTTAAAAAAAAAGTGTCTTTATTTTTATATAATAAAGATAGTAGTTTTGTCTTTATGTATAATAACATTTAAAATGTTGTTAAAGTACGCACCTATTTAGTCTACATCTGCTAGAGATAGTAGGAATAGTGTTAGGGTGTCTAAAATGTAATATGTTATATTACTAACTAGGTTAGTAATTTATATAGTACTAATTAATTCTGTTAATTTTTATTTTTTAAAGCTAATACTTTTCTTTCTTAGTGTCTAGTTTACTTTTATATAAGGGAATTCTTATAGGTATACTTTAAGTTATAACTTCTTTATAGTAGAGATCCTTACTACGCTAGTATTTTATAGTTTACCTTAGTATGCTGTATAGTATTAATCTTTAAGGATAAACTATTCTGCGTATCCTTTAGGTTCTAGGCTGTAGATGTCCTCTGCAGTCACGCAGTAGAGAAATGTAGCATTAGTAAAGTAGTTAATAATCTTCTTACCTTTTTTTTTATCTAAGTTATTATTATTATGTAACTTTTTTTCTTTTTACTCTAGTTTGCTTTTAAACTTTTAAATGTACACATTTACCTTTTTATGTGTTAGTGTCTTATTATAAAATTCTTTATATAAAGAGATATATTAGCGTTTTGCATAAGATTAATTTATGTAAGGATAATTTATTAACTAACATTTTTTTTATAACAGACAAAGCATTGCTTTAATTATGTAGAGGACTATAGTTTAAATAATCTTTTATATCTCTTTAGGCTTCTTCTACATTATTAATAGCTATATATACATAGTAAGCTATATTACCTATTAGTGTAGTACATGTTTTAGAATTTGTTTATAAATGCATTATTTTGTTAATTAATTATAACTTAAAGTGCTAAATAGAGGTTACTATATAGTGCCTTATATATAGGCTTAATTAAAAATATTGCTTGTTTAAGTTTAAGTTACCTTTAGCATGCTTATATAATAGCAGTGTAAAGCAGTATCTTGCCTTAAAATTATAGACTAAGAGCTTTTTATATAAGAGTAAGTTTATTAATTATAGCTTTAAAAGCTTTATATAAAGTTTTTATAAAGTTCTTTTACTTACTTTATATAAAGCTTATTATTATTTAATCTATCTAATACTAGTTATAGTTTATGTTAGTATTAAAGTAATTACTAAGCTGCTTATACAGTAACTTCTATAATTATCCTAGACTAATATTGTAAAAGTAGAACATGTGTACGCGCTTTTTAAGGATATTAGAAAAGATGCTTATGTATAATGCCTTAAAAATAGCAAGGTGTTAGTAGAGCTTAATAAATACTATAGCCTTATTAGCTAGAATATTATATAGTTACTTTATGTAGTTGTTTTTCTTTCTCTATGCCTTCTAGAATTATATAACCTTCTTAGGCGTAAGGTTCTCTGCTGTAATATCTTATATAAGTAAAAGTTAGTATAGATTGTACAGTAATTAAATTATATATAGTAGGTACAAGCTTTAGGGAATCTTATGTAGAGCTGTGGCTACAGGAACATGTAGCTGCCTAGTTATGCTCTTATATAGTAAGCTATTATAAGGTAGTTGTACTAATTACAGAGGAAGTATTAAGTCTATAGGTAATTTATACAGAGACATCCTCTATTACATTAAAACTAGTAATAGTAGTAATAGTTTTATATAATGCTCTAGTAAGACAGTAAACATGTGTTCTTTTTTTATAAGTCTATATAGTGTAGTAGCTTTTATTATGTCTTTTTTAAAGCTAATGCTTTTATTTTATAGAGTAGTAATTAGTTTTTATAGAAATAGTTAGCTAAAATTTTTAAAGTGTATAAGCTTTTACTTTATAAAGTTATTCTAAAAGTTCTTAAGCGTACATATGTTTATTATGCTTAATGTGTAGAGTTTTATAATTAAGTTAGCTATGTATAAATTAAGCTTTTTTTTAAGTGTGTTATCTAATAGTTTAATTTTATTTACCTAATTTTTAATATTTATCTACTTTACTAAGGTCTTTGCTAAGATGCCTATAAAAAGTATGTATTAGTTATATGTTAATATGTTATATTAGCTAGTTATAGATAGAGCTAGCGTTGCTTGTTGCTCTATAGTAGTTAATTATACGTTGTTGCGCGCTGTCTTACTTCTTGTTGTACGCTGCCTCTAAACAGCCTTATGCAAAAAGATAAAACAGACTTTTTAGCGTTAAATAAGCACTACTATTTATATAATACCTTTAAACAGTATTATATAGACAGGTTTCTTACTTTTACTTAGGTAACTAAATAGAGATTTATAGCTACTTACATGTAAATTAGACTCTGTCTTTACTCTTACTAATTTATAGTTAAAGTAGTAAGGAAAAGAATTCTTTTTATATATAAACTTTTAAATAAAAAGGTATAAAAAAAGCTTTTTCTTTTACAGTATTTAAACTACTAATTAGTGTTAAATAGACTCTCTGCTAGCTAGCACTTAGTGTTAGCAAATGTGTACAAGACAGAGAGGTTTGCACAGTGTAAACATTACACAGGGGTGTTAGGTAACTAGTGTTAATTGCTTCTTGTTTTTCCTCTGTACAGAGGAAAAGGGGGATATCTAGATGTTCGCGCACGGAGGTTCGCGCACGAGCATCATGTGACATAGATACGTGATCCTGCTCGTGCGTGATCGCTCGTATCCAGGCCGCGACGCTGCTGCTGCGTACGGACACTCAAAGTATTTAATTGCACTAATATAGCCTCCAATAAGGCCTGAAATGATACTAGACTCTCTACATAGGAAACCTTTAAATAACTAGGAAACCCCCAAGTAACGCACGGGTCATGGCAATTTAGGGAGAAAGGGAGTGGAGCCCTTGATGAGACTCGGGGTTTTATGAAAGTTGCATGTGTACTAAGAGATGGAGAAAGTTAAGTGCCTGTGATCAGGCCGGGAGATCTCCGTAGACAGCATGTAGCATATCCTAGCTTACCGTGACATTTGGTGGGATGCACAACTCATTGGTGGAGCAAACAGTCGAGTATTGCCTCGCAAGTTGTACCTCCTTCTATTCGGTTGCTATTACTCTTGATGGTTGGAATTCGGGATGCTTCTATTCAAAAGGGACCTGACTTCAGAAAATCCTTCCCACACTTCCGTACCAGGTTCGAGGTGTTGGTACAATAGGCCGAAGGGGAATTATCGTAGAACGCCCCCTTAGTAAGATATGTAAATCCAATATACTAAAGTTTGATTCACCCCTAATAAGATCGGTCGCTAGCAACGCCTACTTGGCGTCAAATTACCAAAAGTCCATCTTGCGTGGGAAGACTAGACATTCCGCCTTGTGGAGGAGATTGCAGCCCGGCAGGGGCTATCATGATATCCAGCGGAATTTTATATATGCAACAGGGTGAATGAAATGAGATATAATTATAGCTATGGGTATCGAGGACTCATATCGCAGGAACCTGTTTTTTGACTTATTAGCGCGTTTATCATGTCATATTGAGGTCTTCTTCGATCTTGGCCCAAGCCGGGGGTAATAGAGTCCCAGTCAGCCAGTAGTTGTCGCTGTAATCCTTTCCCAGAACCACGACTACATTTCTGACAGTTGGGCTCTGTTGCATCGATTGTGCGTGATGAAAAATCATGGTTCCAGGTGGGTTACTCCTCGACTGCCCTGTCTCGCCTGCACGCACAAGTGCAGGGCTGAAGTCGGCCGTCTTAAAGAAGTCGGCCCGTGTCCAGTTGGTCAGGGGCATCAGCAGGGCGCCAGACTCGCCACACACCATCGCCGGGTCACTGCTTGACTTAGATTCACGTCGCAGCTCGCGCAAGAAGGCCAGCACCTGAGCCTCTGTCGATTGCTCAATCAGATGGCGCCGGTTCTCCAAAGCGATGGGTCCTAGAGGTCCCGTTGCAACCTCGGGAGACAGGAACGTGAACGCTGCCACTGCCATATTCTGGACATAAACACCCGAAGCCTGGGCAAGTGACGAGAGTCGGAATCGCGCGTTGAGCGCGTGAAGCGCTGTCACAGGCCGTGGCTGCGGCAGGGAGGAAGCCACCGCGCGGATTGCCCACGCCGTCAATACATCGCCCTCACTGATGAAAGGCTCCCCCTCCCCACCGCCTTGGGTGGCCAGGTCGCCCTGTGCCTGGCGTCGCAACTCAGCCACCGTCGTCTTGGGCAAGAAGATGGTGCGCGTCTCCACAACCCGGTTCCACAACATGTCCCAGGCAAAGCGCAGCCCAAACATGAGCATATTCCATCCCATCAGCTGCTTCTGTCCAAGCCTGAACTCCTCTTTATTCTCCACATGAGCATCTGCGGCTGCACATATCGCATCCTCTCGCGCACCGAGCATAGGCGGCACTTCTGACTCCCGGCCGGCGAGCACCAGAGACCAGCCACGCAAGAGGGCTTGCTGGCCCATGACATCCATAAGTGTGTGCGGCCATGAGAGAGCCACGAGCGTGGCGTCGTTAAACGAAGTGATGTGAAGAGATAGTTGGGGCGTGTCCCGGTAGATGAAATCCTCGAGCGTCGCTGGCGCATCTTCCCGAGCTGCAAAGGCTCGAAAGCCCTGAGGCCCAGGCTGGATGGATGGGGAGCTGGTTGCTTTAGGGAGGGTCTTTGCTAGCGGATGGTCCTCGATATCCATGCCAATGGATTGATGGGTATAGGACACGGCAGGACGTTCCGCCGTGAAGGGACGTGGAACATAAATCTCCAGTTCTCCATTCTCCTAACGAGCCTAAGTCAGCAGCTATTGACCGGCCGCAGACGATCAAATGAGAAGCTGACCTGTAATCGCAGCCGACCGCCGACCTTCCTCCAGTCTCCAATCTCCAGCAGTCTCGACAACGAGGTATGCAGTCTCTCCGCGTCCAGCACATCGTTGAAGCGCAATGTCCACGTTACGACTATGTGCCGGAGTGTTTTGGTGTCATCTAGCATATGAACAGGGTAGACATCGTCACTCTCGACCTGCGGCGGTGCACTTCTTGCAGGTGAGGCTCCGAGTAGGCTCCGTAATGCCGCCATTGAGTGACCTCAACTATAGATCCAAGTTCGATGCTTTAAATCTGCGCCTTGAGCAGGACAGCCATTATCCTCCGTCTGAATTACACCCCTTATATGAATGGCAGTCTCCATAAGTGTCACGCATGAAATTTTGAAGAAATAGGGGTTCGTTCAGTAGTGCATTGAGAGTTACTGTAGCCAATTAAAAGAACGGTATGAAGCCGAAGGGCGCCACAAGTGTACGCACGGCCCAGCATATTCCGGAACTAGCCTATCATGGGAACCACAACAGGATGCGCAGAAGCTTCATCAGACACATTCAAACGAGCAGAACTAGAGAGAGCGCTAGAGTGGTTGATAAACGGGGTTTCCAGTGTCTTTAAATATCCTCAGGCTTTAATCCTCAAGGCTCAACACTACCGTCCTATATTTTCAGGCTATGCGAATGTAGTTTCAACTACAATGGATGGTTGGCCAAGGCGCTGGACCGTTTTGGGCTTAGTGATTGTTACCTTCTCGGCCAAAGCGCTATCACTGAGTCGTCGAAAGCTGCCAGCTTCTAAAAATCGCGATCAGTATCGTGATGGCAAAGGCTCCATTCGGGAATGCGCAATTCCATCGAGTCAGCCCTCGTCATCCAGGCTTCCCAGGCTTGGGTTCTGTTCGCTCACACTCCTCCGGCCGATCCGCAATGCTAAGATACTTCTGGTCCGGAAGTCCTTTTGGGCTTCTTGAACACCTTCGGCAAGGAAGCGGCTATGAATGAGTTATAAAGTGAGCTAGCGTGAAATTCCTAGCCGGCGTCTGCGAGACCTGGATCCGACACGTACATATAACCTGGAAGGTCCTTGGGACGTCGCAGCAACACGAAGATTTTGCGTCACTGTAGCATGGATTTATTTTCTTTACTATGGAAGGCGCTCGTAGAAGAGGTTTCAAGGCTCTGGATAGAAGACTGTACTGATAGCATAATAAGTGAACCTATTAAGCCTGTAAGACAGTAATACCCACGAATCCTCTCCACGAAGTCAGGAACTCACAGAACATTGCACATCGCACAGTATTCAGTATCCCGCCGTTATGAGATTCCTGGTCCTTCTCGTCACTTTTTCTTGTTTCTAGAATGGCACATCCTCCCTACTTAGAAATGCGGCTCCATCGCCATGAAACCCCCAATCCCCAATCACCCCCTCAATTGGTGACGTCGACGCTCCCCTCTCCACAAACCAAGTATGTAGAAAAGAGGGCTCGATTATTGTCCCCTCTAGCAAGACATTCAACATCCTCTCCGTCCCCCTCTTCTCCGGCTGTCTGCGCTGTGATATCCAAATCGAAGGAACACAAAACTTTCCAACGATCCCGACTACTAGAAAGTCCAAGTTAGGATTCAACACCGGTGACTAGTAAAGAAGCTGACCTCTGCAAGTCCGGCGTTCAACATCTATGGCAGTTCTCGCGCGCTGGGTCGCCAGTCTGAGATTTGTCGGTGCACTAGGGTTTCTTTGCGGTTTGTGGGTTCAATTCGCGGCTTGTGGGTTTAGTTCACGATTGGTGGGTTTAGTTCACGGTTGGTGGGTTCACCCCACGGTTGGTGGGTTCAGTTCGCGGTTGGTAGGTTTAGTTCGCAGTTGGTGAGGTAAGCTCACAGATTGAGTGTATGTCAGAATCTAGCAGCCATCCCCCATCGGCAAGATGGTGATAGAGTGACCGATGGCTCGAACATCCTAACTTCCCCTACAGGGATCGAAAACACGCACTCCTACATCACTCTGCAAAACGGAGTGAGCAGCCCCGTCCCTTTCGACGTCCAATGCAAGAAAGAGCACCCGAGACGGCGCTTAGATTGACGTATAGAATTACAGCTCGTAAATATCAACCAAGTGGTGTAGAACATCGTTTTTCACAGCATTGGCATTTCAGGGATGCCAACAGCCGTCGGTCTTCGGGCAGGCAAAAAAGGTAGTTTCACGGCGAAAAATGTGACACGGGAGGACATTCATCTGGACGGTGCCTCGGATTGAGTGCAATTCACGCCATGCATCGGAGGGCCGAAGGATCATAGTACAGCGGGGACCGAGTCGCACGTGGACCAGGTCGCGTTACGAGGTTGATGGGAAGGCTTGGTACTTTGATCAAAAGCCGGAGAGTATGTAGAGTGGTATGACGAAGGACAGTTGCTCTACCCAAACTGTAATTACCGAAGTCACGTTGCCGAGACTGTGGGTTCTTGAGGTGCTCATGGTACGGCTTGGTAGGAAATGGCTGCTTGCCATCTCTAATTGTACTTCCAAAACGAGGCGTTCCCCGGGACGAAACCTATAAGCCCAAAACGAATCTTCTACCAAGGACTACTTTTACATCATATGACATTAACCACAGACCATCTTCCTCTAACTAAGGAATTAGGAGTAGTTGTTCGAACTCAACCGTGACTACGGCCTGAGACTCCACCGGAGGGATGGATAGCATTTCAGCGTGCAAGCCAAGCTCAGCAGTATCGGCAACGCAACGTGGGGTCACAGGGATTCGATCATGTGTTCCTGTTTGGCTCAGTTGCCAGATGGTGGAAAAATGACTAACTAACTGCGAAGGACATTGTTCCCTTATAATGTCTGGCATCAGCGGGCATTCTCCTCTCTCCCAGCCCTCGCAGCAGCCATCAGCCTCTCCTTCCTCCCCTCTTTCCACGCCTTATCCAGCGCCTCAATCTTCCCACCAAGCACCTGAACACCACCAGGTTCGAGCATTACAACAGCTCTCCGAACCTCAACATTTCTCAACACAAGCTTCAGGCCAATATTCATGTCTGTATTCAGCCCCTCCATCCCTCTAAAATCAAATGCATACACTTTCGCTCCTTTGGCATCCTGTAGCAGTAACTTAAAAGGCCCCTTACTCGCCACCGCCGGTGTCTCGCCAGCGTCCCCCGTTGCATCATTCTCGCCGGGCGCAACCCGCACAATCTCCCTTCCCTTCGTCGTCTCGCCACGTTCTTTCAACTCAATAGCCTCAACCTGCGACCAGCGCGAATGGCCGATGTCTTCAATATCGAGGACCTGGCAGACGAGAGGGCCATGGAGGTGCCGAGACTGGATGCGGGCGTTGGCGATGTCCGAAGGGAAGAGAGCGGTGGGCGGGGGGAGGAGGGTGGAGGCAATGTCGGTTGCGAGGAGACGGAAAAGGGCGGTCGATTTGAGGGCTGGGAGGGGGGTGTTGGGACGCGTGCCCGAGATGAAGGTTTGCAGCCATTGCGGGGAGGGGTGGAGATGGCGAGAGTGGAGGTGCTGTGTGACCTCAACGAGGAGGGCGTTCGCCATTCAGGCGGGAATTACAGACACCATCTAGTCATAAAAGTGAATTAGGCATCATATCTTGAGACGGCAAGAATTTGTAAGGGTGAAGGTAGTGGTGAAGGTAGTGGTGAAGGTAGTGGTGAAGGTAGTGTGAAGGTACTGATGGAGGGGAGAGCGAAAGATTCGCGGATTGGCAGGGATGCTAAGGGCCTCTGCCAAATTCGCCCAGGCCGAACCTTGCATCTTGCATCGGACCCCCCCAAGCCCTGCAAGCTCCGCAAGCTCCAGCACTTCTCTAGACAAACCCTCTTCGTTGTCTGGCTTTTATCTCTTCACAACCCGACTTCTAAAATGTCTACTATAGCATCTCCCCGCGTCAGCACCTCGGTCCGCTCTCCTTCATCCACCCGCACCTCCTTCGACGCCACCCGACCCATACCTACGAACACCCGCCGAAATCGTGCCGCCCTTCGCGATTACTACGGGCTAAAAGCTGGCAAAGACGCTGAGTCCAAAATCTCTGAAGAATCTACCCGGGTAGCTGTTTCCACCGAGGACGAGGAATCCCTAACCGAGCTGGATAAGGAAGGATTCAACGCCGAGGCCTTCGTTAGCAACGTCCTGACTACATCCGGGCTATCGGGGGTGCTGAAAGTAGAAGCTGATTTGGTGTCTCGTATGTACCTCCTCCCAGATTCCACACCCTTCCTTCCCAGCCCGTCGTACTAATTTAGCCACCAGAGATACGAAATTTAGATAGCGACCGCAAGTCCCTCGTCTACGACAACTACTCCAAACTCCTCTCCGCAACTTCCACCATCCGCCGCATGCGCACGAATATGGACCCCTTGGCCCCGACTACCCATACTCTATCTCCTGCGATATCACACATTGCCGAAACGGCGGCTTCCTTGTCTTCCTCAATGCAGAGTATGCCGGAACGCCCCAAGGGTCTGGGCTTGGATGTACGGGTGGAAATGGTGCATGATGATCACGAGCCGACGCGAAGCAGCAAAGAGAAGGACACCGTGCGGTGGGTTCTTGATACCCCGCGCAGGCTGAGGGAATTGGTCCATACCGAGAGCACTGAGGAGGCCGGGAGGGAGTGGGAAGACGTCAGCAGGATCCTTGACAAGTGGAAGGGTGTCCCTGGCGTGGAAGAGCTGAGAAGGCAATGTGAAACAGTGCTCGAGGATGCGCACGAGGAAGACAGTGAAGACGATGAAGAATGATACAAATCTACACTACTGCATGTTCTTACATGACGCGGGGCATGACTAGGGTGGTCTGTACCTGTTGAACCTCTCGCTGGAATATGGGGAGAGCGGCCACAAGATGCCAATTTCTGGCCTATACTACACCCCTACCGTATTCCACATTCGTTGAGAAGATGAAGTATCTATGGCAGAAGCCAAAATGGGAATCCTTCCAGTTGCCCAATCTATTGAAGATCAGGCAACCTTTAGTTGAGCCGGCCATTCCACTTGTCAGGACTTTGTCCTCCCACCTCCTAAGCGGCGGCAGCCCTATAAATACTTATCTCGTCGAACCTCTTCACAACCATTTGCATAGAAACTAGCGGCGTGTCCAGGCCGTCTGGTACCTTGCCCCAGCAAGCCGGCATACTCAACCCCAGGTCTACCCAAGTCAAGAACAATATATTTTTACGCATTGTGGGGTTCTTACGCCCTGTGATGTTGAATTGGCATGTATTCAACGTCGCCCTAATTGCCGGATACATCTTCTCCGCCACATTCTTCCCATTTTCTGGATGCTTGCTCCCCGCTTTGGGGTTCACTGGCGCGAGCAGGACATCGAGCCCTTTTGAATCCTCGCCATAAGCCTCTTGTAGCTGCTGTACGAGCGTTATAGCCTTTGCGGCCATGGTATTGGCTTATGGTTTCTCATTGAGAAACGCAGAGTTTAAGACCATATTCACTACCCCCGGATTATGCTTATTCAAACCTTCAACCGTATTTTTGATTGAAGACCGGAGACCTTACATCCAGCATGGTGTGGTTCAGATAAGGCGGAACACGATTCTGAAGCCAGTAGGACCCGATCACAGGGAGAGTGACAACCGTTTGGGTTGAAGGCCTAATGAGATATATTAGGATGCTGACTTCCTGAACATCTGCGCTGATGGATTTGAACTGTGCTATTGCGGCATGGATCACTAATTTGACATCCTCGGACAACCCAGATACTTGGAGGCCCTCCTTTATACTGCCAAGGCGGGTACTACCGCCAGTAGATTACAGCGTCTATACTCTTTTACTTTTCTTTTCTGAAACCGAAGCTTGAAGGAGTACGTAGTAGTTAGTCACATTCTCCCTCAGCAGCGTCAGAAATATACACTCTGGATTAATACCACCATATCCCGCCATCACCTCCAGCAAAATCTTGTTCTCCTCCAATATAGTCGTCATCGGATTGAGATGCAGGTTTGATAGCTCCATGTGTTCAGCCGATTCTTGTCTTTCACACCACCAAGCTTCGTATATGTACGAGGTAATGTCTCAGGGTCGAGTAGTAGGTGTGGGTCGGTGTAAGGGGGTAGGGGTTCGGTCAGTTGAACGGAAGCGTCGAGGCTGTTCAGGAGGTGCAAATAATGCTCTTCGTCCTTAGCAGGGATGGCGACGCGGAATTTTTCCGCGATTAAGCGGAGGTTTTCTGCGTCAACTGCAGATAGCTTCTTCGTGTCTGTTTGCTTCCTCGATGAGGAATGGGAAGAGGGTGACTAACCCGTCCTTGGACCTGTGCTAATGAATACAACAGACATTGTGAGTTAAAATCTCAAGCGGCAAAGAACCACCGAGAAGCAGGAAAAGAGGTCATGATGCCCACTTGCACAGTCGAGTAGTCCGGTTTTAGTTTTGGTATAGAGATAACAGCGGCCGGCTGATAAGAACGTGAACAATGTTAGTCTCTTGAGAAGAGGTGTTGAGAGCTCTGAGTTCGTTTCGGCAGGAATAACCCACCGCCGATAAAGCTTTAGCGATACGCGAACGCAGACTGGGTCGATATGTGTACCCTAGGGTAACGTCCCTCTGCGCGGCGAAAAACCTATCGTACCGAAAAATATAAGGGGTAGTTGAACTTTGAGCAGGTCAAAATCTGTGCATACGTTAAAAATTTACCATGATTTTAACTAATTCGTGGGTTGTGGCTAATTCCCAAACATCCAAGACCCCTTTCTATCTTAAAAATTACGTTCCCATTGTTGCCTTCGCCTAATTTACGCAGAGCCTCTTTTTAGAACAAAACAGTGTTTATTCACCACAGCACCACCATCAAGCTCTTACTACTCTAAATACTCATAAAACAGTCTTATCTAAGCCTAAGAACTTCGCTATAATGCTGAGAAGTCATCATCAGCCTCGTGTTTTCTATGGCACGCAAATTCATGCAAAGTCTCTCCGCCAATCGGTACCTCCATTTGAAGCGATTACCTATCCCAGTTAGTGCAAACCAGGTCTGTGTGCCTCACATATTTATTACAGCGTAATTTACTTTCGTCAGCTCAGCAAGCCCAAGCTCGAGGCTGTCAAGGCTACGGCTGTGCGAAGAAGTCTGCGGAATCTCGGCAAGAAAGCCAGAGATCAGCCCCGCAGCCTTGCAATCTAACTCAACCTTAGCTATGCCTTGGGGCTACCAAAACACGTACAGAAACCCCCATCTCATAAGGTCAAGGGCTATGCAGGTCGGATGTCCTCCCTACTCCCAGTGGTAATATCCAATATCCTACACAAATGTGACGGTGAAACGTTGTTCATAAGCCACTGACGGAAGCTGATAGCTCTAAATACGGAAGTATATCTGCACTGGCTCCGCGGCGGGTACGGCAAGGCTGTATTGTAGCCTTTCCGCTGTAACCGTAACATTTTAACATATAATTAAAGCCATACCCGTGTCTGGTCGCATCTAGGTGCTTTTATAGAATGCACTACAGAAGTTCTTTGTGAGGCGGGGCTTAATCTTACCAATGGTTGCAGGCACAGGGCACAACACGAGGCGGATCTCGTACGCTAACCGTACCAAGCGTTTTCCTTCAGCCTAATCGCTCTTTCCAAAGCGCTGTCTTTCATCATGCCTTTAACCACTACCAGGCGCCCTTTTGTCTCTATAGATTTCGTGCACCTTCGCCATGGACCCACTTAGTGTGACAGCCAGCATTATTGCTATTCTCCAACTCTCGAGTAAGGTCGGCTGCTACCTGAATGACGTTAAAGATGTTTCGAAAGACCGTGCGAAGTGCGCGATTGAGGCGGCCAACCTCAACAGTCTTCTCACAACCCTTAGGTTCCGTCTTGAAGAGGGAAGGTCCAATACACCATGGCACACCGCCGTTCGGGCCCTTGCCACTGAAAATGGCCCACTCGATCAGTTCAAGCAAGCGTTGGAGGAGCTGCAGAGCAAGCTGACAGGGGGAACTAAGATGAAAAAGGTAGGCGACGCATTAATATGGAAGTTCAAGAAAGAGGAGATTTCCAGCATTTTAGACAGGATGGAACGCTTGAAGACGTTAGTAGAGATTGCTTTGCAGATGGATCACTAGTAAGCCCACGCGTTATTGTTGCAGATCTACTGTTTATACATTAAAGCAAACTATCTCAAGCAATTAAAGAAGAATGTAGCCTTATTCGGGCGCATGCATCTACCATAAACTCTGGGCTCGAGACGATACGACAGGCCCAAGGCGATGCACGGCACAGCGAGCTTGTGAAATGGATATCAACGACCGATTATCCTGCTCAACAGTCTGATATTATAGGTCGCAGAGAAGAAGGGACAGGGCAGTGGTTTCTCAGTGCTCCAGAGTTTGCTAGATGGCTCCGTGATCCAAAAGAGACACTGTTCTGCCCAGGGATCCCAGGAGCTGGCAAGACCATGATATCGGCCATTGTGATCGATCACCTATTAAGAACAACGCAAAGCGGTTTAGTGGGGGTTGCGTATGTATATTTCAACTACAAGGCTAAGAAAGACCAGGATGCTACTAGTATGCTGGCGGCTATTCTTAAGCAGCTAGTCCAGAGTCAACCTTCGCTCGTACAACCCCTAGAACAATTGCACAAGCAGCATGCCAAAAGAGGGACTAGGCCATCGAACCAAGAGGTATTTGCAACTTTGGTGTCAGTTCTTGAAGGGTTCTCGACCGTGTACATCGTAGTTGACGCCCTTGATGAGTGCTCACACGATGATGGTAACCGCCACCAGTTCTTGACTCGTATCCGAACTCTACAATCTCAGAATGATGTGCGTCTTATGGCTACATCGCGCTTTATTCCAGAAATTGTTCGAGAGTTTGAGAAAGTAGCGAAGCTTGAGGTGCGGGCAACAGACGATGATGTGAGGCGATTTGTGGCTGGCCAGGTTTACCGGCTGCCTAACTGCATTCAGCGCAACTCTGGACTGCAGAATATGGTGAAAGAAAAGATTGCAGAGGCTGCAGATGGCATGTACGTGTTTCGCTTAGTGGTGTAGTGTGGTGTGGTATAGGCTTACTAGCTTTCAGGTTCCTTCTCGCTCGCCTACATACAGATTCACTCTTAGACAAGAGGACCCCAAAGGATGTAAAGCTAACACTGGGTAAATTCTCCAAAGGCTCCACAGCGCTTGATGATGCCTATAAGGAAGCAATCCAAAGAATAGAAGGCCAGCTACCCAGAGACAACCAACAAGCTAAGACAGTTCTGTCATGGATTACATACGCACAAAGACCGCTTACTACAGCTGAGATGTGCTGTGCTTTGGCAGTAGAGCAAGATGAAGAGGAGCTTGACCCAGAAAATATACCGGACGTCGAAGAGCTATTGTCAATATGCGCGGGCCTCGTTATTGTCGACGAGGAGAGCGCTATAATCCGTCTCGTGCACTATACTACACAAGAATACTTTGAGCGCATTAAGGAGGAGTGGAATCCTGGCGCTCAACTTCACATCGCGTCGACATGCCTTTCTTACCTCTCATTTAATACCTTCCGAGAGGGCAGCAGTTCCTCTGATCAGAAGTTTGAGAGCAGGTTAGCACAGAACGTGTTCTTAGACTATGCGGCTCGGTACTGGGGACAACACGCAGCAAAAGTTCAAGATGAAGTGTACGAGCTAGCATGCACCTTTCTTATGCATCGCGGCTTGATTTCATGTGCTGTGCAGGTAATGACAGCTCCGAATGATGGGTGGAAAATAAAGGGATACAGCCAGCAGTATCGGAAAAACACCACATGGTTACACGTCATGGCGCAATTTGGGCTCCATGCTCTATCAAAAATGATATTCGATACATGTAGAAGAGATATTGCCCCCTCTATCAATGGCAGAGACAGCGTAAACCAGAGCCCATTATATGTAGCAGCAAAACATGGGCAGGAATCTATGGTGAAGCTGCTGCTTGACAAGGGCGCCGATGTCAA